TATATATATATATATATATATATATATATATATATATATATATATATATATATATATATATATATATATATATATATATATATATACACATATATATATATATATATATATATATATAAATAAAACAAAACAAAACAAAAAAAAAAACAAAAAAAAAACAGTGCTATCTTTTTTTATTAACTGGAATTAATTTTTGCTTGCTCTAATTTTTCTGCATGTGTTGCTATGGATACACTTGTTTCTTCTCTAACATGCATATGAGGTGTATGAGTAGTGTGAGTAGCATGATTGATATATATCAATACGGCCTTCCTCCTGGCTGATTGGTTGTTTCTGATCAAGGTTTGTACTTCTGCAGATCCCAGAAGAGCTAGATGTTTTTAATAGATTATCTGTCTTATATGATACTGTCACGGCATAATGACAGTTTCAGCAAATATGTCAAAACATATTTTAATAAAAGTTACTCTCTGCTTACCCTATAGCTGGTTCACCATAATTTAGCCAGCCACAAAAACTAAGGCTAGCTAGCAAGGCCACCAATGACGATGGAAAAACGTTTTTTATCTGTAAAGGTAAGTTGTGTCTCCACCAGCAAATTTAGAAGCGAGTACACAAGGATGATTGACAAAACTAATACACTCCTCCTGGCTGTGACTGATTGTTTTTGACCGGGTGCTGTGCATTTTTGTAGACTACAATAGTCACACTGGGAGGAGATAGATTTTTTTTTCACAGAGTATCTGTCTCATACCATACTGTCATGGCAGTTTTAAGAAACATATTTTGTAAAAACTACGTACTGCACTCGTAAGGAGGGAGAGGGCCGGGTATAATCAACTTTTTTAAGCTTCGTGTTTTAATGTTATTGCACCATACCAAAAGTGTTGCTTTGAATCATTTCATGCATGTTTGATGAAGCCTTGAATCTCCCATGGCAGCCATGCGGGTGTGTCTAAACGCTTGTGGATAGGAAGCACTTTTTCTCAGTCCTCATCTGACCTCCCACTCCACAGAGCACCCATCCCCCACAAAGCGCCACCAGACTACTGTCAGCAGCAATTGGTGCACCTGGTGGAACAGCGTTTGTTAAGCCTATGCAAACTAAAATGCTCCTAAGGGATGTACGGCACTATGGGAAAAGACTGGTGATGACGTGCTGTAGGGCTAGTGTACGAAAAGGGTAGGATGTTCCTAAAGAGACTGAGAATTTCAAGGCAACCATTCATCCTTTTGCTGTCACTTTACTGATGAGGTCTTTGTTTTATACTGTATCACTACATCACTGTTCTGTAATCCCATTTCTCCGCTGTCCTTTCATGGTTCATGTGGCTCTGTAACTACCCTCAAGATGGATAAAAGATGTAAAAATGGTGGTTCGACTTCAACCACACCATTTAGTGGTAGAACCAATCAGCTTAAGCCATAAAGAACATGTGCAGATCCATGAAGTACACATTCAAAAGTCAGAAGGAAGTTTCTGACCACAAATGCCTGATTTGAGTTAATGAAACTCTTCAGTCAAAATTCAAGGACTCAGATTAACAGCCTTATCACTGATTGTTTGTGAGAAAGGGGAGACTGAAAAAGTCATAAATATAGCGACAAAGTGGATAAGTTGAAAACAGTGATTCTTTAGTCCTGATCACAGCTACACTCACAACCTCCAAACAGTCATCAGCCATGATTCTTGGCTCCACCCACTTTGCTGGAATTTTCTGAAATTTGACAGGGTCAGTGCTTAGCTTTCAGAGGGGTGTTACACTTTAAAGCACAATTCATTTAACTTTGGTGCCTTTATTTTAGTGACAACCTAAATCCTAATGGATAAATATTTAGAGTGGATGTAGTATGCAAAATTCACGTTTTGCATGTTTTTTTTTTAAATAGTTTTTACTTCCAGTTGGGTCTCAACTGCTTCTAAAAACAGTGCTTTAAAAAAAAAAAAAAAAAAAACACACCCCAGTAAATTTATGTTTTTGGTGTCTGCAGAGCTTGGTCAGCTGGTTTTATCGCTGTGTGTGCTGTACAATGGATGCAGGAGGGTTATTGACTATCATCCAGAAACCACTGGCTGCATTTTTGTTGTTTGCACAGAAAGCTCAACTTCTGCTTTTCAAAACTGTAAGGTTGAATAATTGTGCATCTGCTTGCAGCCATTTTCATGTGCAAGTTTAAATGTTGAGCTGGGGGGCGTGGCCAGCAGCAGCACATTTGGATTTAAAGTGACAAGGGGCCCTAAAACAGCTCATTCTGAATGGGGCTCAAAATATCTAATATCTAAGAACGATTTTGAGCAAAGAAATTGACATACAAGTTTTGTATAGCCTATAGACCATTCATAACCTGTTTGAGGAAGGAAAATAGGCCACCTATAAGATAAAAGTTTGTTCTGGCAAATTAAAACTAAAGTAGGTCAATGTAATATAAACCAACATAAATCCACTAGATTTATGAAGCTTTATTAGACGTTTCCTTTAGAAAATAGAAAAAGGAAAAACAAATCTCCACTGATCCAGACAAGGACCAACATATAAAGCTTGAATAAATGATGGGCAGGAGATTAAACTCACCGCTGTAGCCAGAAGAAAGTGGTACGGGAGGAACTGCATTCGTAAGACGTCGTTAAACTTACGAATGCAGTGTAGCTCTATCCCGTTAGAGTCGTAGATGTGGAGCCACTTCTTCTGAGCCACAGCAAACATGTGTTCAGTGTGGAGCCACCTAAAGAAACACAGACCAAACTCTGTAAGACTCGGAAACACACAATGTGAATATTTGTGCACAGTGCAAATGTTTTTCTTTTCTTTCTTTAAACTTACTTGACATCATTGACAGACTCCATGACGTTTAGCTCACACATGAGCTGTTTGGACTGCCAGTCTACACAAGCTACATGGCCTCTCCGTCCACCCAGCAGCAGATGGCTGAAGCAAAAACAACACGACACCATGAACATTGATCAGGACGTGATCAGGACGAAGGAAGCATCATGACTTTCAAATTCCAACATGAAACCAAAAAGCTTTCTGAAAAAAAAAAAAATGTATGCTAAATTTGATTTTTCAAAACAAAATAAATAAATAAATTCTTATCTTCAAAATCATATCTTCAAGGCTTTCTAAGTCTTTCTAACAGAACACATTTATCTTCCTGTGAAATCTGACACAGGAAATCCAAACAGCCAGTCTTAAAAACCCCTTACAGCATCAGCAGACATTAACTACATATGAACGTTTGATGAAAGGACCAAATAACAAACAGAAATAAAAATTGCCCTGAAACATAACCACATGCTGTTTATTACTGTACCATTTATTACTGTATGACTGGTGAAACGGCTGAATTGATACATACGTCTGCATTCTTATTTATAAGATATATAGACATATCTGTTTTATTTCCTTTGTAAATTTTTGCATACAAGCAGAATGTTGACACATAGTGCAAGAAGCACAAGCACCTCACAGGACAGACAACATGGGTGAAAACCACACATTGAACGTTTTCACCCATGTGAAAACGTTGGGTTTTCACATGGGTGAAAACTCATGTGAAACATGCATAATGCATAGAAACATTATGCATGTTTCTATGTATAGAAACATGCATAATGTTTCTATGAATGAAGTTGTTTTTTCTGTTCCTGGGGGAAGGAGTTTTTATGCATCTGTGTGTGTGCAAGGGCAGGATGTGGTTAACTGTGAAGTATGTAAAGCAGGGGTATGAGCCACTTCATTTTCAGGGTCGTGGTTCTAATTTGAGTCAGAGCCTTGAAATGCTTCTGTCTTCGAATAAAGGACATTTCTGAACAGTTTTATCTGGCCTTTATAAAAGAATTTCCACAAAATTGGATAAGTAGTCCAATCATAATTAATCTTATATGCAAAAAAGAAAAAAAGAAAAAAAATGCATTTTCCAAATATAAATTACATTTGTTTAGCTTTGAGGTGACAAATACAACAAACAAAATTGCAAAGTCGAGCATGCTTGAGCTTTTAAAGCAGGTGTCATCTGTGTTTCATGATTAGTATGCTTGTTAACTAAAAAGATACTGAGTTGTTTAGTTTAAAATCTCATGGTGGTGACTGTAAGGAAGAAAGTGAATAGGAATCATAAATACCTGCAGGCTGACAATTAAAATGTTGTCAGCAGCTCTTTTGTTACTGTACCTGTTCACGTAACATAAATCATGTCTCATAAATCATAAGCCCAACAGCGAGTACGCATGTCAATACTCACCGTCCTGTTCTGCTGTAATCCAGGCGATATGGACCGAACTGACACAGTTTTAGATTAAAATGCTGTAAAGAGAGTTAAAAAAATAATTAAGAGGTAGCAGAAACCATCCATTTTGCAAATATGGTTTTGGTGCAATAAAATGTATTGTACAATGCATATGGCCTTGAAACAGTTTGATAAAAAAAAAAGAGAATAAATAAATTAAAAAAATAAATTGCAAATGGCTTGTTTCCTCATAGTTTTAGGTCAGTTAAGACTGCTCAAATGATTTCAATCTTTCTTCAAATTCAGATATTTAGGTACATCTCCAGAAAGTAACCTGGACATGTTGGGTGTCGGACCATGTATTTCTCACTGCTGACCTAACTGGTGAAACAAATTCGTAGGCCACCTTGCTCACGCACTTTTTCAACTTACTTGACAGATTTTCTATGGGACATAAGTCAGGGGTTTTGGTGGACTGCTCCAAAACACTGACTTTGTCAACCACATGTTACTGTGTAGCACATTTTGGGACTACACTTAGAGTCAATGTCCAACTTACTGGTTAACATGAGATGTTAACCAGTAACATCTCATGTTACTGGTTAACATGAGATGTTAACCAGTAACATCTCATGTTACTGGTTAACATGAGATGGTGCATTAGCATTTACACTGATGTCCTTCTCTCATGATGCAATTTATTTTGAGAAGTTCACCAGCCCCTGTTGTGGCAAACACGTGTTTTTGGACTTGCAAGCTCTTAAATTTCTCTTTCAAATTCAAGGATGCTCATTAGGACCAACCTCTTCAATTTCTGTTTCTTTGGACCTTAGGTGAGAGCAAGGAACACTTGCTTCTTTAAGAATATTGGAAACCACATGGGTACCTCTAATTAGCGTGAAAGTTGTGAAGAAGCATAAAAAGACATTATATTCTCATACGGCTAAATTTAAATGCATTGTGATCTTAAATCATGTTCATTTCTGAATGTGAAGAAAGTAGAAATTACTCGCTTGTCTTTTTGACATTTAACAAACAGAAATAATGATAATCAGAAATGACCTAAAACAGGAAACATTTAGGTTAATTCAATACCAGACTGTGAGATAAAAAGGTTGTGCTGTTTTTATGCAGAATATGCAAATATCTGGTTTTAAACTGGGTGACTAAAACCAGATACTCGGTTTTGTAGGTGTTTTGTTTGTGTGCAAAAAGTCTCTTTGCCATTGAAGTGTCAAGCTCTCCAGTGCCCCCTAGTGACTCTTCCACTGAAATTTATACAGTATATTTTGGCATGATGGCAATTTATTATTTAAAATTTTTACAAATATTTTACCCAATTATTAAACCATTTCCTCTGATTGAATAAAGTTAAACAGTCTTTTCGTAACAAACATACTGGTTTGATGAGTTATGGTATAAAAACAAATTATGGTTATCTACTACAAACTTCTATATGTAAAAAAGAACTTTACTTCTGCAGTGTCTTTAGAGTAATAGTTCATGTAAAACCTTTGTACCTTTGCTCCAGATGTAATGTCCACAGCATCAGCAATATCCTCCTGTGAGATCATGCACGTATCCTCATCTTCATCTCCTTCTAAAAAGCTGACATCAGACAGAGAAATGGTTTAAAGTGAAATGGCTTCAGATATATAGCATTATTTTTTTTACAAAGTAGTGCATATTTTTTTCCAAGAAAATTACCCTGCGTCTTCTGGCAGCAGGAGGTCAAATCGAGCGGCTTGTTTCTGGGCCATTTCTGAAGCTTCCTCTGAGCGAGTGATGATGTCCTTCAGCTTGTAATGATGCTGAAGAGGCTGAAGCGACACCAGAGAAGTACAGAGATGAGCTACAAAGACAGCCAGCTGCACAATGTGGAAACAGTTTGTGCACAAAGGTGCTTACCTTCTGAATTTTGCCTTTTCTCTTGAATTTCTCCAGCTTGTCTTTCGGGATAGGAGGAGGCCCGGGGAAAGGGTCGGATTTCTGAAAGACAATTATTTACAAAGTTATAAAATTATGTCTTTATAAATTAAGACAAAATGGGGGGTACAAATATTGTAGAGCCTTTGTTGCTACAACATCGTTTCAGGATGTTCAGTTAGGCATAATCTTTATAGTAAATTTCAATCATTAGCAGCTTTTTCCACAGTATTTATGGGATAGTTGAGTAATAAACTGATGGCAACAGCCAGTCAGTAACAAGGTTATAATAAATTACCTAACTACTTTGCATGTATTAGGGCTGCACAGTATATTGCAAATTGATTATTACTGTAATATTATTGTATGCATTATGCAAATTGCAAAAAAATGCCTGGCTAAGTATGAGCTAATTACCTAAATACCATACACTCAGTCTATGTCTTGTTTAACATGACATAAAAGACAAGAGATGATAAAGAGATTATTAAGAAACTTCAGCAGTTATCGGCTAGAAGCAACTTGTTTAATAAAACCTTGTTGCTGAGATAGAAATGTTACCAAGTCTCTCAGCTTAAATAATCCAGAACCAGATTTGTAATAACGAAGTTAAAGAAGGCTAACTTAATAACATAAACCTAATATACAATAGATTTTAGCCCTGTTAAAAATTATCTGAAGGCATCATTTCAGCCATCTATCATGTCAGTCTGATTTGATTAGAAAAGCAGAATGTTTCCTCCAGAAAATATTTCTCGTAAACTCCAGTGACATAAAGAAGTCACTTCATTCTAAGAAAATATTAAATACTGACTTATATTCTGCAGGGATGCGGTTGTTTAATCTCAGTTAGCTTTTCATGCTCTTACCCCCGATATGACTTTCTTCCCACCATCCGGCTGTTCATCTCGCTTCCTTTTCTTTTTTATTCGATTCTGTTGCCTCTTCTGCTGCTCAGGTTGTCCTTCAGTTTTGTTGTCATCTTTCGTTTTGCCTTCTGTCCCCTGCCAGTAACGAACTGGACGCTGGTGGAAATGACCAAAGAGCGGCAGTTTAACAGCATTAACATACAACAACATACAGTTTAAAGCATTCATTTCAACACTGAAACGGGGCCGGCAGGGTCTAATTTGCTGCTATTGTGGGGTTTCATTAAAAAAAAGAAAAAAAAAACCCCTCAAAGAATACAAATTAATTCATACCTTTTTCTTTTTTTCCACGTGTGAAACATTCACATCTGCCTCGCTGGGAGACGCCATGTTTGTTGTGTACGTTTTTGAAGTTCCTGTTGCGTCACTTCTGCTTCATCATTTCCGGATTTCTTGTTAATTATTTTTCTATTTCTTGATTTTTATTTATTTATTTTTTGGCACATTTTCGCAAATAATGTAATTTTTCAGCGTGTAATATAAAATCCTTCGAATTAGAGTATTACCTCCAGAAAGGAATGGTGCTTGAAAATGTTTCTCGTAAACTCTAGTGACATAAAGAAGTCACTTCATTCTAAGAAAATATTAAATACTGTCTTATATTCTGCAGGGATGCGGTTGTTTAACCAACCAAACTATAAAAAGACTGAATGCAGATTCAGGCTTAAGATGGACATTCTGAACAATCAGAAGCTGTTTTTTTTCCCTCTCGATAATACAGTTGTTTCATTTATTCCTGTTACTTTGGCATGCAAAGCTTATAACTACGACTGTGTACTGGGCTACTGAATATGGGGGAAAAAAAGGAATACATTTCCACCAACAGACTCAGAACTTGTGGTATTGCTCTGGGAGATTTTATGGAGAATACAAGGAGATTTCTGAGCTTCAAAAATCTAAAATTTGCAAGAATGCAGAAGACCTTGAAGAGACATTTTTCTCCAAAGAAACCCCTTCAGACTGTTTGGGGGCATCTAGGAAAAGGCTTGTCTGGAGAATCAAAGGCGGAAGCTACCAGGAGTCCAGTGTAATGCCCGTCCTGAACATGTTCTAAGACAAATCTTGCCAAATATCCAGGAACAAATTAGTATAAAGCTTTTTTCAAACATGATGGAGCTGCACGCCACAAGGTAAGAGTGAAAATGAAGCGGTTCAGGTAATAAGAGACCAGTCAGGAAACTACTCAAAAAGCCAATAAATCAAACAGACCAGACAACCTCAAAGCACCGATCAAGTAAGAAGGGGCTATCAACACACAGTGTTTAGCCCTGAAGCTGGAACACCTTTATGACAGAGTAGAACGAGACAGGATTGATGAAGAAAAGAAGTCGCTGTTAATAAATAAAGTTTGCATAAACTTTACAGTATTCTCAACAAAAGGCATTAAAACCATGTAAACATCATCAAATAATCCAACATTGAAGCAGCAAACGTGCTTCACAAACAAAAATGAAGTGTTTATTTAATGGTTAAAATAACCAACTATGTTCGGCTAACAGGAATAATTTAGCAGTTTTATTCAACCCTGGTTAACTTGATCTCCAGTCGAAGAAACAAAAGTTTAAAGAAAAAAAAAAAACTATTCAATAATATCCGTTTGTTGGGTAAAGTGTGAAAATGATTGTTGAAATAAAAAAATAAATTAAAAAAAACACCTTCACACGTCCATTCAATTTAATGAAAATCCTACCAGAGGCAGTAAAATACTTTGAACAATGTTGTGATGGAAAACCTTCAGTGTTACCACCAACTTGAGCGCTGCTGCAGACCAGACATCCTCTCAGAGAGACAGCACTCCTTGAGCAGTGCAAACATTGTACAGTAACATTGGGCTTGAGAAACTGTCGTATCCACCAAATTTCCCAGATCGCGATCTTGTCCAGCATTTTTGGGATGTACTGGACAAAAAGCTTTGACTTACTTAATTCACAGTCTAAAGGATATGTTGCCAACATCTTTGTACAAGAAACCACAGCACAGGAGGCACAAACAATTCTGGGTCTACAGCTTATAACGTTATCCTTCTTCATCAGTATTAACTATTAATAATGTCACCTTCTGTAACAACGAAAACTATTTATTTGAAGCATTTTTGCACACGTTGATGATAAAAGGATTCTAAATGGGCTGATCTCAGCTAGTTTTGCATGCTCTCACCCTCGATATGACTTTCTTCCCACCATCCGGCTGTTCATCTCGCTTCCTTTTCTTTTTTATTCGATTCTGTTGCCTCTTCTGCTGCTCAGGTTGTCCTTCAGTTTTGTTGTCATCTTTCGTTTTGCCTTCTGTCCCCTGCCAGTAACGAACTGGACGCTGGTGGAAATGACCAAAGAGCGGCAGTTTAACAGCATTAACATACAACAACATACAGTTTAAAACATTCATTTCAACACTGAAACGGGGCCGGCAGGGTCTAATTTGCTGCTATTGTGGGGTTTCATTAAAAAAAAGAAAAAAAAAACCCTCAAAGAATACAAATTAATTCATACCTTTTTCTTTTTTTCCACGTGTGAAACATTCACATCTGCCTCGCTGGGAGACGCCATGTTTGTTGTGTACGTTTTTGAAGTTCCTGTTGCGTCACTTCTGCTTCATCACTTCCGGATTTCTTGTTTATTTTTCTATTTCTTGATTTTTATTTATTTTTTTTTTTTGCACATTTTCGCAAATAATGTAATATTTCAGCGTGTAATATATAATCCTTCGAATTAGAAAAGCAGAATATTGTAAATAAATTACATTTATTTCTTTTTTTTTAACATTAGATCTTTGCCAAACTTACACCCTGCTTTACTTACACTCCACTATTCACAAATTAATGTTGCTTAGATTTCACATGATTGTCGTAATGTTTTTTTGTTTTTGTTGTAAACAACAAACTTTCTACATTGAAAAAATATTAATATTTTCAATGCAAAATATGTAAAATATTTAAAAGCAACATTAATATATTAATAGAATCTATTTCATTTTTAAATGATTCTGTCATGGGTTGTTTTGTTGAAGAAGGGCCAAAATACAAATAAGAGCTTGAAAGTAGTTTGGTGAATTGACAACTTTAATAATAAAAATAACAAAAATCAAAGGGAAGGCACAGAGACAACAGGAAATGAAAATAGCCAGGAAACAATGGGAAAACCAGTGAACATAAACACAGAAGAGACATGACATCCTGACATGGGAACAGGTGAGTGTAATCAGGGGAATGTTGAATAGCTGTGAGAGAGGACTGAGAGAAGGAAACTTAACACAGATAACACACAGGAAGGTTAACTAAACAAAATGCCTAATACCATGATAAGAGGATAAATAAAAAAATAAATACATAAATAACAGAACACATTAAATAATAAAGAAACTCAACACCTGGAATAAAGTATAGCTTACTAACATAAATAAACCCAGAAAGAATCAGAAAACAAAAAATTGTTCCAGTATTGATTTACACAAACCACATTTCAGTTATGCTCAGTTTTGGTGAGAAAAAAACAAAAAAAAAAAACAAGTTTTTCATGCATTCTTCTAAATCTGAGCACATATTTATCTGTCATAAAGTTAAGACATTTTATTGATCAAATGTATTCTTTATTATGTCAGAAGACATGAAGCTTTGGAGTTTTAAAGGCTTTTTCAATTTATGAACTTCACTTGTAACTGAGAAAACATAAAGGTAAAAGTTCAAACATGTTGCAATGAGGAGCAGCTGGAAGTTGAAACCTATTCAGGAAGAGCGACTATGCTAACAGTGAAGAGTTATGTAATTTGAAAAGCAGAGCGCCGATCAGCTCTCCAGTACAAACAGGAAACTCCAGGAAGGAAAGGCAGACCAAGTCCAGTTGCAGCATGTCTCTCGATTTCAGCAAGGTATGTGATTTCTTGCTGGTTTTCTTAGTTTGTCCTTCTGCGACTTCCTCTTTTAACATTGCAATCTTATGGAGTTCAGCTCTTTTAAGCTCTTGTGAAGTGAAAAGATTGCTTATTTGAGGATGTTGCTTTAAATGAACACAGGACTGTGAGTGGATTTAATGATTTCAGCAAAGAGTTGAACTCCCACTCCATTCTTTTCTCAGTGCCTCTAGAGCTTTCACTAAACTATGTAGCCTCAGGCGTTCTCACTGAATACTACACAAAACATTTGATCCATTTGCTTCCTTGAAAGTTTTTTTTTTTTTTTTTTGTAAAATCTTGAGTTTCTTGGTCATAATGCAAATCTGATTCTTTCTCATCTTCAATCAATTAATCAAATTTTATTTGTATAGCACATTTCAGCAGCAAGGCATTTCAAAGTGCTTTACATAATTAAAATAAAAACAGCATGTGAGAAAGAGTTAAAAAAAAAACATCATTAAAACGCAAACAGTGAGAAAGAGAAATAAAAAGCTGTCTCTAGTCAAACGGCATTTGACAAGGACTTTAACCTCTCTTTAACTTTAATGGTTTGATGTCAGTTTTTACTTTCCTTTATCAAAGATGGATGTGTCTTCCCGGCCAAAGCTGTTTGATTTCCATGGAGTCGCAATGATTCCTATTTTCACAGCAAACTGGGAAAATGTCCAAAATTTTCAGGCCAGACCAGATGATATACTAATAGCAACATATCCAAAAGCAGGCAAGTCTACATAATCTTTACATGTGTTTTATCAATCACAGATTTCTGTGTGTGTGTGTGTGTGTGTGTAGGTGTGTAGGTGTGTGTGTGTGGGTCATTAATCATATCTGCCTCTCTTCGTCTCCTCAGGGACCACATGGGTCTCTCAAATCCTTGACTTGCTGTATTTTGGCAAGACGTCTCCGGAGCGTCTGACTTCACTCCCCATCTATGAGAGAGTGCCTTTTTTGGAGATGTCCATCCCAAACTTGTTGTCAGGTCAAAGAAAAGATGCATTCTTCACGTATAATAGCCTCACTTTAAACTTCCAACTGCACATCATAAAACATCGTAATCTGTAGGACTTGTGTTTGTTTGTCACTTCAGTTTGATGTTTTTAGAGTGTCTTGTTTTTTTGTTGCTCTTTTTGTTTTAGCTTAGTTGTGTTTCCTATTTAGTGATGCTTTTATTTATACCGATGTTTTGCTGCATTCATTAGTTGTTTCCCAGGTGTTTCTTTGCAATGTCTTCCTATTTTAGGTCATTGACCTCCGACCTCCCAGTAATATCCTCCCCATTATAAGTAGCCCTTCTGGTTTTGCCAGTATTGTCAGATCAATCTGGTATGCACTATGCTGTTTCAGTACAGATTTTATGCTTTTGCCCCCCTGATCAGATTACATTTTTATACATGGACTCCTCTTGTTATTGAGTAGGCTTTTGTATTTGTTTCACCCCCTTCTGTCAGTGATTTGGTACTACCTGACAGAAGGGTTTAAGCAGCCCACACTGAGAAATTAGTGCAAAAAGCAAAGCAGCAGAAGAAGACATCTTTATGCATTTTTTTGTTTGTATGCTTATACAGGAAAAGACCAGGCAGATAAGCTTCCTACCACCCCTCGACTCATCAAAACCCATTTTCCTGTTCAATTTGTACCAAAGTCATTCTGGGAGCAGAACTGCCGGGTAATGAGGCTTTACTGTTTGCATTTTCTTAACATGACCAGAACGAGTTGAAATACTGAACGGTGCTGATATTTATTTTCTCACAGCAATGGTACATTTTTTTTACAAACGTCTGTTTCTTTGGTAGATGATCTATGTAGCCCGCAATGCAAAAGACAACATGGTGTCTTATTACCACTTCGACTGCATGAACAATGTCCAACCTGCAGCTGGAGACTGGAACAGCTTTTTCCAGAGATTCATGGAGGGAGACAGTATGTATGAAATCATCGCCTTCTATGTGTTCATACTTTAATAACGTCCATATTGCAAGCCTTTCCATCCATGCATTCTATGTACCTGCAAAAGAGACACCAAACATTGTTAAAAATAAAATATCAATATCTTGGGTTGGTTGAAAAGGATGTAAACTGATGTAATTGGCATCCAGCATACAGGTGACTATTTCCTTTTAATTCTATAAATTGTTTCCACAAGTTTTGTCTGTATTTGGCTTATTTTTATTCAATAAATGAGAGTCATTTTTCTTACTTTAAGATGGTCTTATAAGTTTGTAAAGACTTCAATTTAAAGAAGGTGCATTTTCTTCTGGATGATATACACAATTCCTCCACAATAAGCCTGCCTTCTACTGTTAATCTACCATCCAGTGGTGTTTGGCTCCTGGTATGACCATGTGACCAACTGGTGGAAGAAGACACAAACCCATTCAAACATCCACTACATGTTCTACGAAGATATGATTGAGGTAATTTGTTTTAATCTTTCACAGATTTCTCCTTATTTTACACCTAAAAGGTGATGAAACATGGATGACTTCTGATCATGTTTGCAGGACACTGGACGGGAAATAGAGAAACTCTGCTCCTTTATCGGATTGACTCCCTCTGCTGAGGAGAAGGAAATGATCAGAACTGGAGTGCAGTTTGACAACATGAAAAAGAACAAGATGGCCAACTACTCCACACTGCCAGTCATGGATTTCAAGGTGTCTCCCTTCATGAGAAAAGGTTTGATGAATAAGTTCATGTTGTAAGAGATGTCACAATCAACTTCCAAACACCAGTGCAGTCAACTTATGCCTGTATTTCTGCAGGAAAAGTTGGTGACTGGAAGAATTACTTCACTGTGGCACAGAACGAAGAGTTTGATGCAGACTACAAGAGAAAGATGAAGGACCCTGCCCTGCATTTCCGCTGTGAACTCTGACAAAAATAGATGACAAACACAACTGCAATGAAAAAAAAAGAGATTTTTATTATCAAATAGGAATAGTAATGTAACCTTGAAATGTAAAGAAAAAATGAACATAAGCCTATTTTGTACTAATTTTAAACAATATAATTATTTTGTAATATTTAAATAACAACCATCAGATTTCATTTTTTAGATTTTAAAATGAATAAAAATATTGCATTTCCCAAAGAGATGATGGCTATATTTTTTTTCTATGTGATGTTAATATTTGTAATTCATTTCAAACAGATCTTATAACTATTACTGGGACTCTTATTGTCATGCTGTTCTGGAAATTATGTAAAATTATGTAAATTAAAAATGTTAAAGCTATCATGTTTTTTTTTTAATATATGTATATATAGATTTGTGATGTTTGAAAGACAACAAAACAAATTCAGTTTTGGTAAAACAATAATCGGATGAAACAGTTCTGTATTTATTATAATCTAACAAAGTAGCTGTTTATTGAACTCATCAAAATCCCTAAAGAAAAACAACTTGTGCAAGATGAAGTTATCATGTTCAGTTACCCAAATTCAGTTGGGACCAATACGGACAAGAGTATGAATTTAATCCTCAATGGTCAGTTCTTTCTATGACATTACACTTTCCTGTACCCTAAGCTGACTACTGATCTGAGTCTTGGTATATGGTTGTGTGGGATCTGTGAGTGTAAATGGACGAACTTGGCTGCAGTGGGAAGTGCTGTGACTGTTTACTCAGTTCATTTACAAAGAGGAAACCCCCACACCCTCATGGACTGCTAAGTAAGGAAACTGATGATGAAAGGTTTAAATACCGCTACTTTTGGAGAAACACAAGAAGCTAGAGAGACCACATTTAGAAATCTAAACATGAAAGAAAGGTGGATAAATGCCAACAAGTAAACATGAGAGAACAGTAACTACAAAGAGCATGACAGGGTTGAAGAATGGGTCAAACAGCGAACAAAAAGATGACAATGAACCTCAGAAAAGAGAATGACGGGAAAACGAGAAGCAAATCAAGGAAAGGGGAAGACAAATTACCAAAAATAAACTGTGATCTGCAAAGAAACAAAAAGCCAAAACCAAAATAAATGAACAAAAGAATAACACAAAACCACCACATGAATAAAAGCCTGAAGATTAATGACAGAACTATTTCTTAAGCAAGAACATCAGACCTTGTTCGAGTCACCAAGACGACAAATGCTCTATTGAAACTGAGGAAGTTGTGCAAGATGTCACCCTGAATATTACACAACAAACTAATCACTGTAGTTCAGAAGATCCTCATATGACTACACAGTAAGAAGGTAAGGTAAGTTTGGCTTTATTCTACTTAAAGATGAACATATAATGTCATAGTGTAAATGAACTGATGAACAGGAACATCGACCGACAGTTTTGTAAAAACTCTATGTGCTCACAGAGATAAAAATCCGAAAGCTTGGGTCACACATTTAATTGACCATCTGGAGACTGAGAATGAGAATAACCAAACACTGCCAGCAACATAATGCAAAATGATCAGAAGACAGAGCAAATTTTAATTAGGTTTTATGTTTCAATATCCACATTCATCTGTTTAAATGAGTGTGGTTTAGAAATAGTCTAAATGAGAACATTTAGAGTTTAGACATTAGGCTTCATTATCCCTAGGAGGACATTTGTTTTCATAACATAGTACTGAGTCTTGAAAGACAAAGAAAGTGTAATTAATGAAATCATAATTTGAAACGGTGTATTGTAATTACTCACATTATTATTATTATTTTTGTCTAATCTTAATATGTGATCATCCGAAACTGTTACTTGTGTGTTCAAGTTCTGGTTATTTGCTTATGTCTTTCCATTTTAATTTATTCCTTGTGTTGGTTCATTTATTCTCATTGATTGTACTTTAATCTTGCTTCCTTCAGGTTTTTCCCCCTAAGTTCTCTCTGTTTTGTCAGTCTGTCACCTCTTTCCTCAGTCTGCTGTCCTTCTCAGCTGATCTAATCCCCTGATTTGCTTTTTTTTCCCTCCACTTTCATTCAGCTGCTTTCCATTGTCATCTGATAAGCTAATTTGGTCTCTTTGTCGCTTCTGCTTCTCGTTTAACCCTTGTGCATGCGAGGTCAGAGGCAAACGTAGAGGACTGTGGAAAATGATACAAGTTTTACGTGTGTGGGGTCGGTTGGACCCCATTTCTGGACACAAGGGTTAAATCTTTTTCTGTCCTCACTGGCTCCTTCTTGCTCTAGCTGTTCCCTGCTGTTCTGTTGCACTCTCAGTGGTCTCTTTTAATCATGCATTCTTTGACAGTTCAGAAGTCTTGTTTGTACGTTGATCCTGCTTTAAACTTACAATACACAACAGAAACATTTAATAAGAATGACAAAAAGGCAACTGCAATATAAATTTGTAGGTGAGCAAAAACTTCTCACAGCATTATTTGCTTAACAGATGTTCTTAATTTTGGAGTTCTACTTTTTGAGGATGGTCTTTCACTGCTGAATGTGGTCTGAAACATCTCTATTTATTTAAGACATAATGAGAATAAAATAAATCTTTAATGGTATTCATAGATGGAGTTGCCGCCTCGTCCAACTTTGTTTGACTTCCATGGAGTCTCCATGACCAAATACTTCACTGACAACTGGGAGAATATTCAGAGCTTCAAGGCAAGGCCAGATGATATTCTAATAGCTACTTACCCTAAAGCAGGTGAGCTCAAGTAGGGACAATAATTACTTTAATTTCATTGTATTATATTTATGTTTTGTAATTGAAAATGTTTCCATCCCAGGAACCACATGGGTTTCCTACATCCTGGATCTTCTCTACTTTGGGGAAGCAGACTGTCGTTCTTCTGTTCCTCTGCAAGAAAGAGTGCCTTTCCTGGAGATCAGTGAGCCTTCTCGACCTAAAGGTTTAATCCTAGACAACACACACATTTGTACATCTTTTTGCATTATAATCCAATTGAATCTTTATTCTTGTGGGTTAAGGATCTGTTGTCAAAAGGATCCTTTTTTTTTTTTTTTTTTAATGAGCCATGCTAAGCTGCTGAATCTAAACATGTCAAGTTGTGTATGTCATCAACTGCAATCGTATCCATCTCCCAAGGTAAAGATTTGGCAGACCAGCTCCCCACTGCTCCTCGTCTCATTAAAACCCATCTACCAGTTCAGTTTGTGCCAAAATCCTTCTGGGAGCAACGCAGCAGGGTAAAACGACATGCAACACACATGCACAATTCAGGAAACCAACAGAAGAAATCTAAATTGTTGTTTATGTCTTAACAGATTGTATATGTGGCACGTAATGCAAAAGACAGCGCGGTTTCCTATTTCCATTTTGGACGTATGAACCGTGTTCTGCCAGAACCAGGGGACTGGAGCTGCTTTCTGCAAAACTTCATGCAGGGAAAGGGTAGGTACAATGTTAGAGAGCCACAGCAGAATATATAACTTCCATCCAACATGTGAGCAAACACCTTCTATGCTTCCAGTTGTGTTTGGATCGTGGTATGAGCATGTGAATACCTGGTGGGACCAGAAGCAGACTTATTCTAATCTTCACTACATGTTCTATGAAGACTTGATTGAGGTAAGGGGAGTTGTGCTTAAAACGACAAGCAGGCCTACAGTTTGAAATGGCCTCCTTTCCATTTCTGAAAGAACAGCTGGACTTCATGCTAATGCAGTGTTTCTCAACCCTGGTCCTCACCGGCCCCCTGTCCTGCACGTTTTAGGTATTTCCCTTCTGCCACACACCTGAATTGTATCTCTGGGTGATTAACAGGCTTCTGCAGTACTTGATGGTCATGCAATCATTTGAATCAGCTGTTCTGGAATAGAGGCACATCTAAAACATGCAGAGCAGGAGGGCGTTGAAGACCAGGGTTGAGAAATACTGTGCTAATGTGTTAACTCAGCCTTTTGATCCTGGTGTGTTGAACAAGGGGCAAATCCTTTTATTAAAAATGTTTTTGTAATTTTTTTTTCCGTCTAATGTAATTTATGAATTGTCCTACAGACAGTTGTTGTAATAATTGTACTTGGCTTCAGTTTCTTTCTTTTAACATGTTGTCTTTAATCATTTTTAGGACTCTGGACAGGAAATCAGCAGACTTTGTTCTTTTCTGGGCTTGTCTCCAACAGCTGAGCAAAGGGAACTTGTCCAAGCTAAAGTGACGTTTGACAATATGAAACAAAACAAAGTAACCAACTTCTCCACTGTCCCAATGATGAATCAAAGTGTATCTCCTTTCATGAGGAAAGGTCTGTAAAAATCTTTTTTAAAGATCAGACATTTTCACTAGTTTTATCACTGATTCAACTCCTTATTTCCAGGAAGAGTAGGAGACTGGAAGAACCATTTCACAGTCTCCCAGAATGAACAGTTTGAAGAAGACTTCAAGAACAAAATGAAGAACACTGCTCTCGTCTTTCGCAATGAAATTTAAGGACCTTGTCTAAAGCCTCACGTTGTTAGCACAGGAAGAAACTCCTGCGGAGTTTTCACCTTTCTTAATGTACATGCTGTGTTTTCTTTGCACATTATGCATCTGTTGTTGCACTTTAGAACTGAGTAAAATGAATGTGGAAGAGAATTTAAATTATTTCTCCTTTGAGGCAAATAGACATCCAATAAA